CAGAGATACAGTCTCACAAAAAACCCCACCCCTGGAGTGGTGACAGACTACACCCAACAGGCACTTCTCCCAGGGGGAGGGAGAGGTTGGTGCCCCATACTGAGCAACCTACCCCTGGTATCCACACAGGAGACAGAAGCCTCCAAAACATCTGCCTTGGAAAGCCAATGAGGCTGATGTCTGGGGTTCCCAAAGTGTTACAGGAGCCTGAGATTCCCCTCTTGGAGGGCTCACAGTAGTCTTGCTGGCCCCGAGACGCAAGGAAAAACAGGTCTGAAAAGTGCCTACACTCTATGTGACAGAGATTCTTTGCTAATGTGGGAGCATTGGCTGGAGGAGGGGAGACAGCTGAGATGCTCACCAGAGATGGAGGCATTACCGGACGCCACTGCTCCACGCTCCACATAGCCTGCTAGCACAGGCAGGCAAGTGCAGATGCAGTACCGTCCTGATGCTGTGCTGGCACAGGTCGGGGCAAGAAGTCACAGCACTTGCTAAGGCTGGGGAGTGAGGGCAGAGGCAACACTCCCTTGGTTCCCCGGCTAGAGCAGGTCACACAGCTCTCCCACTCTCTAAAGTCGGTGAATGTGGGCAACTGCAACACTCTCCTGCCCCCCGACTGGGGCTGGTGACTGTCAACAGTCGGGGCATTCTCCCGCGGCCAGCCTAAAGCCAAAGCGTGCAAACAGAAAAGGCACTTCCACTGAATCACTGAAGCCCACAGATGCACTCAGTCAAGACATTTTCCCACTGCCTTTCTGCAGCCAGTGACTGTGCCCTGCCCCCACACTCTCCAACTGACTCACTAAAGCCAGTAGGTACATGCAATCCACACGGGGGACACCCCTTGATTGCCTGGCCCTGAGACCAAGAGGACTGGTGTTCCAAAGCTCCATGGAACGGCATAACAACTGCAAAGGCAGTTCTTGGCAGGCTCGGACCCCCAGGGCACTACCCAGACAGCAGACTGAAACACAACCCCAGTCTTCCTGTGAATAAAACGTATTCACTTAGCCTGGAGCTTCAGCCTGAAGGATAGGCTTCGGGTTTCCCTCACATAGAGAGGCTAAGGAGTGGTCCCAGGGAACGCAGGAAGACACCATCCTTGTGCACTCTGCTGACTTCACTACAGTCAATTCTGCTACTGGGTACCTTGAAGAAAACAGAAACATTAATTCGAAAAGACATATGCCCCCCTGTGTTCACTGCAGCATTATTTACAGCAGCCAAGATATGGAAACAACCTAAGTGTTCACGGATGGATAAATGGATAAAGAAGATGTGACATCCATCTATCTATCTAATGGAATACTGCGCAGCCATAAAAAAGAATGAAATCTTATCCATGACAACATGGATAAACTTTGAAGGCATTATGCTAATTGATAAGTCAAACAAATACCGTATGATTTCACTTACATGTGGAATCTAAAAGATAAAACATACAAACAAAGCAGAACTAAATCCAAACTCAAAGATACAAAAAACTGATTGGTGGTAGCCAGAGAGGGGGAGGGTTTGGGTGGGGAGAGAGCAAATGAGAGGAAAAGATTAAGAAGTACAAACTTCCACAGTTACAAAATAAATAAGTCACGAGGCTATAACATATAGCACAGGGAACGTAGTCAGTAATACTGTGTTAACTTTGTAAGGTGACAGATAGCAACCAGACTTACTGTGGTGACCATTCTGCAATGTGTAAAAATGTCACATCACTATGTTTACACCTGAAACTAATATAATAGTGTCAATTATACCTCAATTAAAAAAATAACAAGAGAAAAAATGAAAAAGAGCACATTTTCCTCAGTAACTCAATGCCATTATCACACCTATCAAGACTAGTAATAATTCCTCAATACCATCTAATACCCAGTTCATTATCAAATGTCCCTGAATGTATCAAAGTGTCTTTTTAGAGTTGGTTTGGTACAAACCAAACAAGGGCCACACATACTTATGTCTCTTAAGTTTCTTTTCATCCAGAGGAACTTCCGTCCCTTTTTACCCTCATACCATTTGCTTATTATAGAAACCACATCAGCTGTTTTATAAAACGTCCCACATTCTGTACTTGACTATACACTTGTATTATAATTAAACTTACTCTTTATCCTCTGTATGTGCTATGAGTGGAAGTAGCTTTAGAGACTCAGGTTTCACTTTTTTTGATACAAATACTTCACTGGATATTGCTTCATACTTTGTCTAATCAGAAGACACATGTCTGCCTTTTTCCCTTTTCATGATGCTAAGATTGATCAGAGGGTTCAAACGGTAACCGCTTGAGCACTCTATCAACTTCTCATCTAAAACTTTCAACTACTGATAATCATCTCCTGAATCAATGATCTCATGAGGGGCTGCAAGCAGTGGTTTTCATCAGTCCAGGCACATTTATTAACTGGAATTCTTCCCTCTCATCAACTAAGCCCCCCCCCTTTTTTTTTTTACTCTGAACCACCATTTGGATAGGAAAAGCAAGATAACTACTTAATACCTTCCTTTTACTTCCAATTTTCAGAGGAAGAGGAGCTGGTGTCTTAGTTACTTCCAATAAAGCTTACTTTTAACTAAATTGGAACCAAAATAAAATATATTTTTTATAAAACATTTAAACAAAAGGGAAAAGAAGAGCTCTGTAAGCAATCCAACTAATCTTGAAGAGTTAACCAGCGACTTCAGATTTATCCAGGGATATAAAAGTCCAAAGATCTAGGACAACCACAAGACTCTCAGAGGAAAAGAGTATCTGGCCAAATTCTTGTTCCTTTGATAAATCAACAGAAAGACCTGTCCAGAGCTTTGGTGTCTTTGCAAAATGACTACCTTTATTCCAAACATGACTTGAAGGCAAACCTCAAGCTGAGATCTTTTTAAAAAGCTATACTTACATGAGCTGACTAAATAATAAAATCTCCTGTGAATACCACAAATTAATTGGAACACCCTGAGATATAGTGAATCTGGCATGGGTCCCACAACAGTCCCTTCTGCTTAGCTGGCCACATTTCTGAATCCTCATCTTCCCCACTACATGCATAAGGGCACTTAGACCAAAGACAATGAGTCCACAGCCATGGAACTGTGTCCTGGTAAGACAAGATAATTCGTTCGAAACCTTGGGAATTTGAACTGAAAATAAGGAAAACCTTGGGCAGTTTATAGTGGAAAGAAAAGGCATAGACTATGGTTGAGCCATACTAATGGCAGAGGACCCAAGTGAAGATCCTGAACTCCCTCGATGAGCTCTTTAGTCATCATGAATCCAAAGCTCCCTTCCTGCTCTGGTCCTCCAGGTGTGTCCTATGATAGCTCCAGATGTCCTTGTTACTCTGTTCTCCTTACTCTTCCACAGATATCTGTATTTGTTTGCTAGGGCTGCTGTTAACGAAATACCATCGACTGGGTGGCTCAAAAAAACAAATTTATATTTTCTCACAGTTCTAGAGGTGAGAAGCCTGAGATCAAGGTGCCAGCAAGGTTGGATCCTCCTAAAAGACATTCCAAGCTTCCTTGGCTTATAGACAGCCATACCCTTTATACATGTCTGTGTCCAAAATTCCTCTTTCATAAGGACGCCAGTTATACTGGATTAAGGCCCACACCTAATGACCTCATTTTACCTTAATTACTTCTTTAAAGACACTCTCTCCAATGGTCACATTCTGAGGTATGAGGGAGTTGGGACTTTAATGCATGAATTTTGGAGGATACAGATTTCAGCCCATAACAACATCTTTAAAGTGATCCCCTCTTTGCTTTTCTTTAGTTTAAGTGTTGTTGGTTATAACTGAATAAACCTTACCAAAATAGCTACATTTTCTGGTCTTCTATTATTTAATTATTCATGTGTTTCTTTCAAACCTCCCAAGAGTTTGAGCCATAAGAGAGCAATAACATGCTTTAAAAGTTCAGTGAATTCTACCTCCACAGACCTAGTACCCTACAAACGGTTGGTACCAGAAACATAAAGGGCACAGAGAATTCTGTAGAAGATGCTGTGCCATGGCACCCAAGATCCTGAAAGGGTCAGGATTAAAGTATTCATTCTCTTAGCAACCACGAGTGTTGGCGGCTGTTAGTTCACAGCTAAGTCCTATCCCACGAATTGTCAACAGAGTCACTTCACCCAAGGTAATGCCCATTCCTTGCAGGCAGCCTACATCCAATCATAAAGAAGCCCAAAGGCCCAGCCTTCTTGTCTTCACTCAGGACATCTCTGAAGAGCCAGCCCAGCTCCAGAGCAATTTGTGGGATTGGCTGTGGCACATATGCAAATGAATTACAGTTCAACCCTCCCTCTGCCCAATCCTGCTTCCATCCTGCTTCCATCCTGCTTCCATCCTGCTTCCGTTCCCCACCTCCCCCAAGGTGTTGAGCCTCAGACTACTTCCCAATAAACTTCTGCACACAAACCTCTTAATCTATTTCCCAGAAAATTGGACTCGCCCTATATCCTGTGGCTAACACTGACAAAGATGCTGCACTTGATCTTAGCCAAAAGGCCAAGAAGCAGTAACACTGTGACAAAGAAGGAAACAAAAAAAATGGGAAAAATTAGCCAGATACTAGGTTAATTTCCTCTTTTCCATTTCTTGGTTTTGAAGAATCCTGTCCATCTTCTACTTTCTTGCTAGAGAAAGGGTCCTGTTCCAGATCCCCTCTGACCTGCCCTGTTCGGACAGCTTCCGCATCCTCCCCACTCCCATCTTCCAATCCACAAGCAGGAACCCCGGACATCCTGCTTTCCCTGGACAGTAGGGGGCGCCTCAGGCCCCAGCTCCTCCCCCTGGGTTCCTGCCACTGCATTTCTGAAGTCTGGTCCCTTCAGTGCCTGGCCCTGGGGTGAAAACCTAAGGAGAGGAGGGAGTGAACCAGAGGAATCCCTCCAGGAGGAGAAGCTGGTCCCATCTACCTTCTCTGGCTGCTCCCCAGCTGGCCTTTCCCTGGGAGCCTGAGTTCAGTGAACAGAAAGTATTGATTCTGAGGACCAAGACATGGGCCCTGCTGGTAGTGCCTTCCTACTATCCCTTCTACTGGGTAAGCCTCTGAGGTAGGGGGGCATGGGGAGGGGAGAGGCAGAGGTTTTTGGCTGAAGAAGTTACCACATAGAATAATAGGACACTTCACCCATGGGACATTACTTATGAATAGCGTGTCCTGGGGAAGTCCTGAGGGGATACTATACGCAAACCAGTAAACAAAAAAAGACCCCTGCCCTCGTGGGGCTTATAATCATTGCACTTATTAAATATATAAATTTTAAAGCAGGTTAGAAAGTCCTAAATGTTAGGAAAGGAAAGGGGCGGCAGGAGTGGAAGGGCAGGAGGTGTGTTGTAATTTTAAATAGGGTAGTCAAGGAAGTTTCATAAGGAGTCATTTGAGCAAAGCCCTGAAGGAGCTGAGTGACTTAGCTACGAGGATCTAGGAAAAAAGCATTTCAAGCAGAGGGAATTGGAAGTATCAATACTCTTGAGTGATTTCAGGCATAAGCTTGTTCACTTATTTTTCTGGCCCACAATGATTTAAAAAAGCAGGGTAGGTTGAAAGCAGGAAAAGGTAAGAGGCAGCAAAAAAGATACACAAATACTGCAAAATGCCAATTCAGATAAAGAAAACAGCTCATAAACCTCAAAAGCACCTGAAGCCATCATTGTGTTTACAACCTAATATCCTTGATATTCCTGGTGACAACCCTGAATCTTCCAGTAACAGTTAAATTATGTTCCATGTATGCTGCTAAAGAACGCAGGTAAGTATGTAATTTTCGAGATTCCCACTAATGGGTAGACATTTATAAAAATCTGGCCTTTAATACAAATCTGAGAAATTTAAATATGTGGAAAGCCTCTCCGTTCAGTGAATCTAGACATAAGATGCATTACTGAATACTAATGATATGGTGTCTGTCTTAGGGTCTTGCCCAAGTTCTTCCCCCAAAAAGAAAGATCTGCAATCAGGTGAGTGGTCTCTACCTAGACTGCTGGGTTTGGAACTGGGATAGGATGGAGGGTGGAGGCTAGGGAGGACTCAGGTCCTCGGAACAGATGGGAGTTTAATGATGATGAGAAGATGAGAACCAGAGGACCAGGACACGGAGAGTTCTACATGTCCATCTCTCTTCTTTCTGTAGTGTGTGGACGACCTGTATACTCAGGCCGTGTTGTAGGTGGCCAGGATGCTGCTGCAGGGCACTGGCCTTGGCAAGTCAGCGTGCTCTTGGGCCAGAACCATGTCTGTGGAGGGTCTCTCATCAGTGACAGGTGGATACTGACAGCAGCACACTGCTTAAAAAAGTGAGTCCTAGCTGGGGGCTAGCACACAGATAGGTTCTCAGTAAATACTTGAATGATTTCATGAATGAACCAACAGACAAATGAAAGTGGTAAGATGAGTCGGGGCACCTGGGTGGCTCAGTCAATTAGATTGAGCCCTGAGTCGGGCTCCATGCTCAGCGTGGAGTCTGCTTGAGATTTTCTTCTCTCTCTCCCTCTGTTCCTCCCCCTGCCTGCACTCTCTCTCTCTTAAATAAATAAATAAAATCTTAAAAAAAAAAATGAAAGTGGTAAGAGGGGGAGGCAGAAGGAAACCCTACATCACCTTGGACTAGGGACAGGACATAGAGGTAGAAAAAGAAATGACAGAGATAGGCACTATATTAGAAACTTCTCTTACTTTGTGCCTAATCACTTACTAAACATCAGCCAGGGAACTCTGTCTTAAGCTTTTCTGGATCACAAACACAATCTGAACTCTCTCTCAGAGCTCCTGCTCTAAGAGAAGCAAGGTGCCATGTGGAGAGTAGTCCTAGGGAGGGGCTCATGTGAAACTAATGTCTCCAGCCAACAGCTAGTGAAGACTTGAAGCCTGCCACCATAACAGCATTTGGAAACAGATCCTCCCAGAGTCAAGCCTTGAGATGACTGTAGCCCAACTCGATTGTAGCCTCGCGAGAGATGAGTCAGAGGCACCCACCGAAGTCACACCTGATTCTTGACCCCCAGAAACTGTGAGATAAATGTTTGTTTTTTTAGGCCTCTAAGCTTTGTGGTAACTTGTTATGCAACAACAGATAAGTAATATATAAAGAAATCAAAACAGCAGGACTTTTCAATAACAATACCCAAAGCTCAAAGAAAATACAGAACAAGAACTTCAAAATGCTGGGAGAAAATTATTTCCAACCCAGAATTCTACCCATATGCAAATTACTGATCAAGCGTGGGCTAGAAACAAGACATTTTCAAATATACAAAGCAGCAAAAATATTACCTCTCATGCACATTTTCTGAGGAAGCCATAGCAGAATGTGCTTCACTAAAATCAAGGAGAGAAAAACAAGAAAAAAATGGAGTCGAGAAAAAAAGGGGATATAACCCAGAGCAGAATCCCCAAGAAAATGGGAGAAAATACAGGACAAAACTCTGGCCATAAGCATATAAGAGGAGACCAGAGAGACAGGAGTCAACAAAAGAAAGAGTGGGTAGGGAGGGAGGAAAGGAGAAACAGCAACAAATCAACCCTAGTCCAAGTTGTAAGTAGCCCGGTTCATTCTAGGTCCATTACCATCCTTTCTTACCTAGACACTTGGTGCTACACATAGGCAGCTTGTTCCCACCCAGCTGTAGCACCTAAGCCTGCTCCACTTTTAGTCTCCTTTTTCTATTCCCCTTAGGAACTGGATTCCTTTGTTGTATACTGTGCAGCTGGGATCGATTCAGATAGACCAACCAAGTCAAAGTGTGAAGCATCGTGTGTTCAAAATTATTATCCATCCCCAAATTCAACATACAACTGCAGACATCGCCTTGTTGAAACTGGTCTCTAGAGTCACCTTTACCTCTTTCATCCTGCCCATCTGCTTGCCCTGGATCACAAAGCAGTTGAAAATTCCAGCCTCTTGCTGGGTGACTGGATGGGGAAAGGTTAAAGAAGGTGAAGGTGAGAATGGGTAAAGAAAGGGGTTCTTTTAACCATCATCCTCTTTGTACCCACTCCAGAACATTTGCATTCTAGGCATACCATTACTATGGCAAATATTTTTTAATAAACCCCAACCTATTGATATTATCTGTAAGTCTTCAAATAAAATGTCTTTTTCACATTTATTATGTTTTTTAGATCCTGCTTAGAGTCTAGCTAAAGCTGCAAGAGCAGATACTAACAATTTGAACATATAATTACTTCTCTGAAACAAAGGTTAACAAACCTGATCTAAAGTCTGGAAGAGTCTAGTATTTTTAAAATCTGTTCTTAAAGTGTTGTGTCAACTCTGTCCCAGGAGGAGTGAGGACAAGAAATGATCTGGGAGCAGAAAAATAGGAAAGGAAGAAGTTTTAGAGTATTTCAAATACTCCTATCTTCACTGAATCAAACTGTATCAGAATTTCTCTTTATTTAAAACACAAGGAATACCCCACACTGGCACATTAGAAAAACCTTAAAACAAATAGAAATAATTTTGAATTATCCATTGTTTCAGATTAAATTTACCAAAAATATTCTTGTATTAGCAAATATGATTAGAAAGTGATTGTATTCTGCTTTCGGATTCTCACTCAGAGATTTCTGCAAATCATGACTGAATTTTGCCGTTGCAACTTTCCAGATTGCTTTTCCTTTCACTCCTGTCTGTCTTTACAGATACTGATTACCCCTCCATCCTCCAGGAAGCAGAAATATCCGTCTTTGACCGCCAGACCTGTGAACAACTCTACAACCCAATCGGCTCCATGCTGCCAGAATCGGAACCTGTCATCCAAGACGACGAGATATGTGCTGGTGATACAGCTAAAATGAAGGATACTTGCAAGGTTAGGGTTTGCTCTTGAATTTTTTTTAATATGAGACTTTAATTTTGACCCGGGTTTTCCTGTATATAAACAGCAGGAGACTGGGAATCAGGAGACAAAGGTTCTGATGATAATGCTTGTGTTATGCTGAATTACCGATGAATTTAACCTCTTCAACTTTTGATCTAGAGAAATGCTAACTTTTGGTTACTGGGTTTTCACAGACTTGTATATTTTTATAAATATATTACGAGGTTGACACAGAATTGCCAACTTTATTTTTTCAAGTAAGAACATTTCACTCTATACTTAAAAGATGTCATTCCACTGTCTCCTGATCAACTGTCCAATGAAGAATCAATCGTCCGTCATTTTTGTCTTCCTCCATTGAGTGTGATGTGTTGTTTTGCTCTGGCTGTTTTCAATATAATTACCTTCATATTTGATTGTCAGAAGTTTGAATGTGATGGGGCACTTGGGTGGCTCAGTAAGTTGAGTATCCAACTCTTGGTTTCAGCTCAGGTCAGTGGGGAGTCAGCTTGGGATTCTCTCTCTCCCTCCTTCTGCCCCTCCCTTGCACATAAGCATGCTCTCTCTCTAAAATGAATAAATCTTAAAAAAAAAAAAGAAGTTTGAATGTGATGTGCCAGGTGTAATTTTCTTTGTATTTATCCTATTTGGGATTCACTGTTTTTGTTTTTTATTTTTATTTATTTTTTTTTTAAAGATTTTATTTATTTATTTGAGAGAGAGAGAGAATGAGAGAGAGAGAGCACGAGAGGGAAGAGGGTCAGAGGGAGAAGCAGACTCCCTGCCGAGCAGGGAGCCCGATGCGGGACTCGATCCCGGGACTCCAGGATCATGACCTGAGCCGAAGGCAGTCGCCTAACCAACTGAGCCACCCAGGCGCCCTGTTTTTGTTTTTTTAAATCTAATCTGTTCTTTTATCTTTTATCAAAACTTGAGAATTTTTTCATTCATGACTTCTTCAAATATTCTGCCTCATTTCTCTCTCTTCCTCTTCTAGTTGAAAGAGAAAATGTAGGTTACACCTTTTGATTTTTTTCACCATCTCTGATAACTTTTTTTTTTTTTTAAAGATTTTATTTATTTATTCATGAGAGACAGAGGGGGAGAGAGAGAGAGAAGCAGAGGGAGAAGCAGGCTCCCAAGGAGCGGGGAGCCCGATGTGGGACTCGATCCCAGGACCCTGGGACCATGACCTGAGCCGAAGGCAGACGTTTAACCATCTGAGCCACCCAGGCACCCTCTGATAACTTTTATTTTTACCTTTCTCTGCTCTTCAAATTGGATACTTATAAATTAATCTATATTCAAGATTACCTCTCTCCTGTCATCTACATTTTAGTGTTACGTTTATCTAGTGAAAGTTTTCTTCACATATTTTCACATATTTTATTTTTTAGTCCTAGAATGACCACTTGGTTTTTTTTATTTCCTTTCCCTCTCTCCCCCTTCCGCCCTCTCTTCTCCTCCTCCTCCTTCTTCTCCTCCTTCTCTCTCTCTCTCTCTCTCTCTCACACACACACACTTTTCTCTATCTCTGCCACAATGTCCTATATGTATATTCACTATTTGCAATCAAACAACGGAACACAGTTTGACACCCACTAGGACGGCTATTATCAAAGTAGATAATAACAAGGGTTGATGAGAATGTGGATAAATTGGAACCTTCATACTCCTACTGGGAATGTAAAATGGTACTGCTTTGGAATTCTTATTCTTCAAAAGGTTCTATACAGAGTTACCATATTACCCAGGAATTCCACTTTAGGTATACACCCAAGAAAAATAAAAACATGTCCACAGAAAAAAATTATGCATGAATATTCATAGCAGCATTATTCATAATAGCCAAAAAGTGAAAATAATCCAAATGCCCACCAACTGAGGACCAGATCAATAAAATGTGGTATATCCAAATAATGGAATAATTTTCAGCCATAAAAAGGAATGGAGCACTGATAGATGCTACAAGGATGAACCCTGAAAATGGAATGTTAAGTGAAAGAAGCTAGACACAAAAGATCATATATCATATGGTTCCATTTATACAGTATGTCCAGAATATGCAAATTCATAGAGGCAGAAAGCAGATTACCAGCTGGCCTAGGGCTGAGAGGAAATGGGGGTGACTGTTAATGGGTATGGGGTTTCTTCTGAGGGTGATGAAAATGTGGTGATGGTTGAACATTGCGAATATACTAAAAACCGCTGAACTGTACACTTTAAATGGGTGAACTGTGTAGTATATGAATTATATCTCAATAAAGCTGTTAGAAAAAGTAAGATTGAAAGACAAACCATCAACTACTATCACTATCATTTTACATAAGAAAGGATTATTTTAACACTAAAAAAAGGCAGTAAGAACCTAAGAATAGAAAAAATAAGAACAGTTTCATTCAACTGAAATAAATTTACCTTTAGGGCAAAAATTCATCATATTAATTTCTCTTTTTTATCACAGATGAGTATTTTTAAACTACTGATATATTTAGCTAGGGTCTCTGCCAATTTCAAATTGTATGATTCTAGAAATCCCATGATCTTCCCCTAACGCAGTAAGAAGTCTAGCTCCCTCTAAGAGTTCTCCAGCTCCATGGGTTCCATTGCCCCATTCTAAGGAACTCTCCACCTCTTGTGACCACTTTCCTCTTCAAGGTCCCTTTTCACTACACTCATGAGCTTTATCTTTCCTCAGGGTGATTCTGGAGGACCTCTGTCATGTCATATTAACGGTGTATGGACCCAGATAGGACTAGTAAGCCGGGGAATAGGCTGTGCTGAATCTCTCCCTGGAGTCTACACCAGCGTGATCTACTATCAAAAATGGATTAAGACCACTATCTCAAGAGCTGAGGTCTTGGGTGCCAATAATTTGGACTTATCTGACTTCCTGTACCTTACTGTACTGCTCTCTCTGGCTCTCCTGGGACCCTTCTGTGCCTTTGGGCCTAACATTTTACCAGGAGAGTAAACAGTATAGCTAAAGCCACTGGCCAAGTACAGGGTCAGGGTGGGAATACATAAAGATTAAGCCCCAGGAGCAGAGAACTCACAGGAGAGTCACTAGGAACCCTGGATTACTTCATTAAAATAATTTTGATTTTGGTTTTGAGGTTCTTTATTCTGAAAGTATGTTTTAGGGGTTGGAATGTGAGTAGCTGAGAAATAAGGCTGCCGCTTCTGTGCACGGCATTCTTTGTCCCTGACTATGAATCTTACAAGGCAAGAAAGGTACCTTCTATGAATAAGTAATTATGGACACAAATAAAATGGCTACTGGAGAAGAGGGCAAGAAAAGAAGTATCTGTGAAGGCAAAGGGAAAGTCCTCAAGGAAATATATTAAGAGTTTACTTTGGGGGCCCCTGGGTGGCTCAGTTGGTTAAGCGTCTGCCTTTGGCTCAGGTCAGGATCCTGGGATCGAGCCCCGCATAGGGGTCCCTGCTCAGCGGGGAGCCTACTTCTCCCTCTCCCTCTGCCTACTGCTCCCCCTGCTTGTGCTCTCTCTCTCTCTCTTGCTCATTCTCTCTCAAAAATAAATAAATTAAAAAAAAAAAAAAAGGAGTTTACTTTGGGTCCATGGTTTGCATTATGGGCTTCTTGTCTATATTACTTACTTCCTCTCTTAACCTACACTCTGCCTCTGCAAGGCGTCAAATAAAAAATGTGTATATATAACTCATTTTTCTGAAATTTTTGCTTTTTATGAAATACCAATGTGACCTACGACCAAAAAATGGATTAATGCCAGGATCTCAAGAGCTGAGGTCTTAGGTTTCAATAATCTGGACCTGCCCAGGTTGTTTAATGTTACTCCAATAATAAAGTACTTTAAAGTACTTTAATAAGGACAGGATAACATCCCTTGCTTAACTAGCATGCTTCCTTTTATTAATCCATCCCATGACCTACTATTTCCTACTTTACCTAGGCTTCGAGGAGCTCAGAGCTAAGTTATATACTCAATTTCAGTCATTGCCTTTAACCTAGATTATTGAGTATAATTCCATTCACATCTCTTTTTATTTAAATCATCCTTGGAGCACCTGGGTGGCTCAGTCGTTAAGCGTCTGCCTTCGGCTCAGGTCATGATCCCAGGGTCCTGGGATCGAGCCCCGCATCGGGCTCCCTGCTCCACGGGAAGCCTGCTTCTCCCTCTCCCACTCCCCCTGCTTGTGCTCCCTCTCTCGCTGGCTCTGTCAAATAAATAAATAAAATCTTTTAAAAAATAAAAATAAAAAAAATAAACCATCCTTCATTCCTCATTTGAATGAATTTAAGTTTTATTACATCTGTGTCTTTCATGGTAAGTCAACTTCCAAAAAGCCCAACTTTTTGGATAAACAAATACCTTTAATAGGAAATGAGGGTAGATTCGGAAACAAAATCCTTGCTAGCCGTTAACCCCATCTGTCTTCTGGGCTGCCACTACAGCCCCTACTGCCGCCAAACCCCACGTCCCTTCCCTCACTTACACCTATGCTCAACTCCATTTATTCTCCACAGCATTCAGACTAGTGTTTTAAAAATAAAGATTTTTTAATACATTTCTCCCCCCATTTTCCCTGCTTCAGCACTTCAAAGACATCTCCTTGCCCAGAGGATAAGGGGACCAAAGTCCTTAAGAGGGCTGACAAAGCCATGCAGGTTCTGATCCCCGCCTGCTTCTTCAGCCTCACGGCACCCTGCTCTCCAGGCTTTCAATTCTTCAGATGTTCCAAATCCCCTCTCAGCACTGGACTTCTGCATCTGCTATTCCTGCTCTCCTACTGCCTTTGCCTAGTTAATTCTTACTGTGCCTCAGATCTCAACTCACCTTTCACTTCCTCAAGGAAGCTGTCCCCATCTCTCCCGACCAGAACAAATCCCCCACTGTATATTCTCATAGCATTATGGAGCCCTCCTTCGTAGGACTCAACACAGCTGTAATATATTATTCATTCGTGTAATTGTCTAGTTAATGTATGTCTTACCAAAATGTAAGGATTTTTGTTTTTGCCAACCACTGTATCCTAGTTTCAGTAAATACTTGTTGAACGAATGAGGGTATTTTGTTTATGGAGGTAGCCCAGAACCTGACACAACGTCTTACACAAAGTAGACTTTCAAATATTAGTTAAATAAAAGAATGAAGGAAAGAACGCTTCAGTCTCCTTTCTCCTTCTCGTTTCTCTCCAGCCATAACAAACGAAGGAGAGAAAAGAGCACGTAAAACAGGTAAATTGGAAGGTTTCTAGAGGCAAGGATTTAAACTAGGCAACCTCTGGAATGACACAAAGCAAAATGGCAACTGAAAAAAAAGAACAACAGAGAAAAAAGGGGCAAGAAAGGAAAATAGAGGAGAAAAGACAGACTAAAATCAAAACAAACAGGAAGAGAAAGCACACAAAAGTATGGGCCAGGACAACACAGCAAGAGGACATAAAGAAGGTCAAGAAAGCAAGCCAAAATATTGCTTCCTATCATTTCTCCAGACTCTAAGGAAGCATCTGTTCTGGAGCATGGGATCTGGCAAAATTTTTCTGATGAACCAAGAGGTGAAACTTAAAAACTTTTGGAGGGACCAGACCATTCAGGGGGAAGAGGACCACACGACCTCACTGTCCTGGCCACTACTGGTTGGATGTACCAGGGATAAGCATCTGATTAAACAGCTGCCCAGAGGTGGTGGGGCAGTTGGCCTAAAATCTTACCTGACAGATGCACTCAATACTGGACAACCCAACAGATCCCCTCCTGGGAAGTGTGAATATACATCGTATAGCATTCAGCATGCACTCAACAGTATTAAGTGCCCACCGTGTTCTAGGCACCATTCTGGCCACTGAGGATACTGCAGTACATTCAACACATCAAGCCTGCCTTCAGGGAGTTTACATTCCAGTGGGGGAGAGAGACAATAATCAAATGCAAAATAAATATTTATTATAATGTCATGTATAGGAAAGTCTGATAAAAACAAAAGAGAAGAAGCAAACAGAGTATTACGGTGGGGGATTCCACTTTAGATAGGGTGGTCAGGGAAATTTCCCTAAGAAGATGACATTATATAGAGGTCTACATAAAGAAGGTTAGGAAAAAAAACCTGAGAAAGAACATTCCAGGTAGAGTGAATACGAAGTACAAAGGTTCTGAGTTGGAAGTATGCTAGGTGCATTTGTGAGGAAGAACAGAGAGGTCAGTGCAATGCTAGAACACTGTGAGCAAAGAGGGAGAAGGGGATGAACTGAGACCAGAGAGGGTGCTGAGGGCAGGTCCTACAGAGCCTGGAAGGTCCCTGTAAGGAATCTGAATTTTATTCTCAGTGCAATGAGAGGGCACTGGAGGGCTAAGAGCAGGGGAATGATGAAAGAAGAACAGAAAATCCCATACCACAGCGCATCGGAGTATGCAGAGGACATGAAGGGGCTAGGATGGTAGAGAGGGTAGTCAGACGGCAGCAGAGTTAGACAAGAAGCAGAGAAAATAAGAATCTGATACCAGGGCGCCTGGGTGGCTCAGTTGGTTAAGCGACTGCCTTCGGCTCAGGTCATGATCCTGGAGTCCCGGGATCGAGTCCCACGTCGGGCTCCCTGCTCAGCGGGGGTCTGCTTCTCCCTCTGACCCTCTTCCCTCTCGTGCTCTCTATCTCTCATTCTCTCTTTCTCAAGTAAATAAATAAAATCTTTAAAAAAAAAAAAAAAGAATCTGATACCAACGTACTAATGAGCAAAACACAAGGGCTACGTACAGGATCCTGGAGCATCAGTGAGGAAGGTTTGATTCCATAAGGCTGTGTGCTGTTGTCTGCCCTACTCCCCATCTGTACTACCCTTACAATAGGGCCCCACAAACCAGGGTGAAGAAAAGCACAAGCCCAGGTTTCTTACCATCTACTTTATAATTCATCATTAAGACACCTCGCTAACTTCCTATTTGTCTTTTTTCCTTCTTACCCAGACCAATGTTCTTCTCCCTCCTTCATCCCACTTCTACCTCCAGGTTTTATCTGCCCCCTGCTCCTGAAATCCCCTTCTCTCATAAACCTCAACCCACTTATTTCTGTCTATTGGTTAAGAAAAAGAGGTAGTGAATATCTAAAAAGCACACTGAAAGGACCCCAGGAAATGGTTTTAAAAATTAACAGGAAACGGGTGAACTATATGGTGTGTGAATTATATCTCAATAAAGGTATTTTTTAAAAACAGGGAAATTTTTCTCCTGTTTAAATAAAAATGATTAGTCTGTATGTATTTAGGACTCTCTAAAGATCTTCTAAATAATCCTTGTGACCATTTCAAAAAAAGGTTCAAACCAATTACATACATTTTCTGTTTGCATTTCTGTTAGCATTGCTAACACACAAAATGTAAAGCTTAACCCAGTATATGATACAGCAACTGGTACACATTGCCAGAGGGGGGGAATCAATAAACATTTGTATTCACACAACTAAAATGTCAAGTACTTACTGGTAACAAATTTAGTCAATGACACCACAAATGACCAAATGGGGAAGAAATAAATAGGGACATCTTTACACTCTATTTTGGAGGGGAGCTCAACAGCATTTCTGCTTTAAAAATTGATTTTAATTTGTAGAATACTTTATTCCTCGAAATATCTGATTTAATATGCTCCAATTTTCACTTTAGGAATTTAACGAAGGTGGGATTTGCTAAGGTCACATGTAACAAACAAAGCTGTACACTAAGGCTGTCAGCAATTTTCCCCCTAAAAGTGGGGGAAAATTATATAACTACTTCCAGATCTTTTTATTAATATAACAAATGGACTATTTCAAGTAATCACCCATTTTTCCTTTATTTCACAAAATTGTAAAGTCACCCTCAAAATGTGGGGACATTACGGAAAAAGAATTCAAAATAATAAAACGTGGAGGTTATATTTTGATGTTATTTCAACAGTGGCTATTTTATCTTTTCAGATGCTTGACTTCATTCTGAAGCTATACTATTCTCCCCACCACATTTGACTCTGTGTAGTTTATTTACATACT